TTTAACAAATTAAGATTTATTAATGTAAAATTCATCCCCATTGTAAAATATAAATAAAACCATTTTAATGGTTTGAAACGCGAAGTATATTAGTCAAACCTATGTTCAATTTATTTAAAGTACCCCGTGACCACTGCTGCAAAACAAAGTAACGTTGGGCCGTATTTAAAATAAATTGTAAGTTTAACTAATTTATACACGTTTTAAACCGTTAAAAGTTTAGGCAACCATTCTTCCACGAAAATGAATGTTCTGTAGTACCTAGTCCTTACAAAACATTTTTTGATGAACTAATAATATTACGCAATTCCTTCGTGGTGCTGTTACCATACGAATTATCTTCACACATCTAAAGCTCGTAATGGTTCATAAAACAGTACTCATAGATAACACGGGTCCATGTTGCACTATAATAAAAATCTTATCACTAGATTAGACTTACGATAGTGACGTCATTTGGAGAAAAATTAAGACTGTCGAACGTTAAACGAAATTACACCTTAATATGTCAGAAATAAAGTTCAAATTCGTATATACACGCGTAAAGTAGCAAGTTAATGCAGCGCACGGAAACAATAGTGACGAACTTAAGACGAAAGCTTTGTTTCCAACTCAAAAGTCCGACGGAAAAAGTTTTTCTGCGCGAGGTAAATAACCTTGGCGATTTATCATAGGTATTTAATGCATAGACAAAAGGAGGGAAGAAAGAAAGAAAATAATTATATTTCATATTAAAGTGAAATGAATACATTTCTGTGCCCGTTTCACTGATCGGTTTTAAATCTATAGTTTATGCGAGTAGTACACATTGAAATAAAACACCTTAACGGTTTAAAACGCGACTTATTAGTTAAACTTATTTTGAAAATGATTTTTAACTTCGGCCCGACGTTTCGGATGCTTTGCAGCAGCCGTGGTCACGGGGAGACGGAGTCTTGTAATATAATATTACAAGTTTAACTAATATATCGCGTTTTAAACCGTTAAAATGTTTTATTTAAATGATCGGTTTTATTTACGGTTGTATAGACCGGGCATAAACGATCTATAGTTTTAGAGATAGAGTAGGACTGCACGCGCTTTTTCATTCATTTTTTCTGTGGACGGACGGACGGACGGAATCTCGATATCCCCGCCACCCATCTAATATCCATATAATTATTATAGATGCATTCTACATTCCTAAAACAGTTTTAACGGTTTACAACGGGACAATATTGGTTAACTTACAATTTACTTCTAATAATTTGCAGTTGCTAATGAGGCTGATATTTCACGTTCTGAACTAGTAAGAGTGTTTTATTCAAATATTTAGTAACTACTTGCGTAAACTACAGACAATAAAGAGAAGAAAGAATTTGTAACAGCTAAAACTTAAGATAAAGGCATGAAAAACCACTTAAAGTTAACGGTAACTCCTGATAACTTTAGCTGTTTGCTTAGTTACGATAATTGTATTTATTTTGTACTTCACAATATTCCTACTGTTTTAATGCTAGACTGTGCGTACTTACTTTTATTGCACTCGGTTATTGTCGTATATTTTTCTTAGATATTTCTAAGTTTACTGGTAAATGATCTTTATCGCTTTCGTAATAGAGTTCTCTTGTAGGTATCTTTACAGTTAGAGTAGGCATTTATTAAGTTCCGTGGGTAAAACTTACAAATGTGATTAACATGACCTTTTCCCAACATAAAAATACCTAAATGTAATTGTAGCTAGAGCCTGAGTAGCCTAACTGCAATTTTATGACTTGACTTATTTATATTTATACTAGCTGGGCCCGCGACTTCGTGCGCATGGAATAGTGATTTTAAGTAGAACTTTTAATTATTTAGGCTGTTTATTTATTTATAAAAGGGCGCGTTCAGGGCAGCCAATCTGTGTGGTAAGTGCTACTTTGCCAAAACAATTCCACTCTCACCTCACAACACTCCTACCGTAACTCCCGCTCTCACTCTCATTCCCAAAAAGCCAAAGAAGAAAGTTTTATTGTTTTAGAATTAAAAATCACTAATTTCTATACAAACTTTCAACAATAAAAGGTAGCCTGTGTCCTTTCTCAGGCTCTAATATATCTGTGTCCTAAGTTTCATTTAAATAGATTCAGTAGTTTCGGCGTTAAAGCCGGACAGACAGACAGACGGTTACTTTCGCATTTATAATATTAGTATAGATTCTAAAAATGTTAATCTACAAGAGCACTATGACCAAACATTGTTAACATACTACTTACGCAAATGATAGTAAAAACTCATTTTCGCCTAAGTTAATTGCGCATTTTTATTTTCCTCCTTATTGTGAAATCATGCTTTTGTTATTAGGCCACTCTGACTCTAGCAGCCTCGTTTGACATATAAAAAAGCTGAATGGAGTCGATTCACATATATCTATTTTTTCTATGTTTGCGTATGGAAACATCTGATTTGTGTTCCAAAAAAGTAATTTTTTTTCCAGCTGTTATAGCTGCACACCTGTTTGCTACAATCGCAGCAATTTATTGCTAATAATAACCAACGGGTGTCATGTTGAAATAGGCGATAGGAATATCAAAATTCCACCTGCATCAAGAAAGTATGGCTGCTGATGAAGAGCTGTATAGCTTAATTTGATTTTTATTTAGTCCATTTATTCAAACACGGTCGTGGATTTGATTGTCACCCGGGCGAAATCATCAGTGCATCTCGTTTAGATGTTATATTTCACCTTACATCATCTAAAACCTATGTTTTTTTGTACTTCCCTATCCCATGTGGGGCATGGGCCAGACAAATGTATTTTTCATCGATCGAATTGTAATCATGTAAGTGAGTCAGACTTTCGCGTTATTGTCTTTAAACTATGCATATTATGATTCAAATAAATCGGTTTAAAACGCGAAACTTATTAGTTATATAGCGTTTTGAATCGGTAAAACTGCTTTATTTAACTGTGTCTTGTTTGGGTAAACTACAGCCAATATTTATTTTGGTATTCGAACTTAAACTGAACTTTTATCCTGTACGCACCGATATCACATTTGTTTTATACACACTAATAAATCTCATTAATTCTTGAAATAAATGAAATCCCGTCGCCCCCCTCGTTGGGCATGGACCGAACACATTTTTGTGTTCGGCCCATCAGTTGATCACACTTCTGTGCGCTGCCCGACCGAAACAATCTTTTGTTTCCCTGGGATTCGAACAAAGGACTTCTCGAGCTTCACGCAATGCTAGGCAATACGTTTAACCATTGACCAACCAATAATAAAGTGATGTAAGAAAATTACGCTAAAGACGGTATTCATCATACACTTTCAGTTTACTTTACTTAAGCACTTTAAACACTACATACATATACAGAATGCAATACAATACATATAAACGCAGTCTGTGGTGAATTATTCATAGATGAAAAAGCCCTGAATGGCAGATAGCGGGATTCGGCTTCAGCGGGCTATGAATCCTGAATGCCGCAAAAATAGAATATCAGAAGCCTTCGCACTGTCTAGTTTGTGGTTGAATATTGCTTACGCCTTTTAGCTGTATACCACAGACACATAAATATTTATAATAGCTGTGCCAGCGACTTCGTCCGCGTGAATCGTTATTTTGGGCTACAAATTGGTTTTTGCAATCATATTCATCATATTTATAAAATTAAGTTACCCACGACGTCGCTCGCGTCCCTTCCCGTCGTTCTTGCAAGTTAATCTTAAAAGATAGACATGTAGCGTCACGAATTTTTTTTAGATCATCATTTCTCGCTGTATCTTTGCTTGTATTAGTTACAAGGCAATGTTTTATAGTCTATGGCCTTCCTCGATAAATGCTCGAACCAACACAAATAATTTTTCAATTCGAACCGGTAGTTCCTGAGATTAGCGCGTTCAAACAAACAAACAAACTCTTTAGCTTTATATATTAGTATAGATTAATCTGCGGATACGGCAAACTTTTTTTTTGTTTTTTGCAAGGTTAATTTAATTATATTAATGATCTTTAAAAACATTAATATTTTTTCACATGTTATTGCACATGAAGGCACTATATAATTTAAAAATCGAAAATAAATTGAAAAAATTTTCGACTCGGGCAGGACTTGAACCGGCATCGTCAGCGTTCCGTGCTGTTGCTCTGACGCTGACGATGCCGGTTCAAGCCTGCCCGAGTCGAAAATTTTTTCAATTTATTTTCGATTTTTAATTAAATATCAATGATGTTGATACAACTCTATAAGTGATTTTGTTGTAAATCTTTGTTTAGGTACATTTAAAACGGTTCTTGTGAGTTAAAACAAATGATCTTAAAAGATTACATAACAAATCATTCTATCATACATATGTTTTGGTTTGGTGAACCGTCTATAACCAAAATGCTCTATCCGACACGAATATTATTATTCAATTCCAATCAGTACTTCCTGAGATTAGCGGCTTTAACTCTTCAGCTTTATTAAATTTGTAAAACCTTCGTATTGAAGTGTTTATTTTACACTGATTGTAAGTTTTTTAAAGATCTCCTTTATGAATTGTAACGCATGTTAGTCAATTTTGTTGTACGCTGTAGAGCTAATCAATCGAGCTAATAGTTCGAGCAAACTTTTAAAAATGTGTCTATGGTTGTTAGTACAAACTCGAAGTATAGGTGTAACTAGTGGTGCAAGCCCACCAATCTTTAGTGCAGCAGCGTAATGGACCTAACAGTTTCAGAGGAGACAGAGAAGCAAAGGGGCGTTAACAGGTTGAAATAAATTAAAATACTGTCTATAGTTTACGCGAGTAGTACACATTTAAATAAAAACACTAACCCGTCTCCCCGTGACCACGGCTGCTGCAAAGAATCCGAAACGTCGGGCCAAAGTTAAAAATCATTTCGAAATAAGTTTAACTAATATATCGCATTTTAAACCGTTAAAGTGTTCTATTTAAAATAAATTAAAATTCCAAGTAAATTGTCAGTGGTGGATAGTAGTAAATAAAAAAAATATATAATACTTGGAATTTATTATGCTATATTCACTTTTTTAAAGGACATTGAGGTTTTCTTGGCGGCGGTACAGCTGGTAAGTCATCTCTACACGACAGTCTCTCCTCCAACGCAAAGTCGTCGTTGCAGAACGCATTATACATCGCTATAAGCACCTTACCACCTCTGAACAGTATCTCTCTAAACGCCAAGTCACTCTCATCAGGAAAGGTAATGGAGCCAGCGATCAACCCACCGAGGGTACTTCCGAAGACACGGCTCGGTATACCACGTTTTCTGGTCAAGAAACATCCAGTCACTACACCCATGAAGACGATACCTTGCCTCATAACAAGTTTCTCTGGGTCACGCATGTACTTCTTGAAGTTCTTCTCGTGATCCGCCATTTCCATTTTTAGTTGCACCCACGCGTTGGTGAAGCCACAGCCGATTTGGCAGAGACCCTGCTGCATGTCTTTCCTATAAGCTCTCACTGTTGGGAGGAGGTATTCCTGCATGAGTGGGGTCCCAGCTTTTGAACACTTCTCCTTGTCCGCTACGTGGTCTTTGTAATCGTAGTGTGGGCTCGTGTAGAGCGGTAGATCTTTATACTTCATCGGTGGTGGGCATTTTGGTTCTGGTGGTGGGGCGGCTGCTTCTACTTTGGGTATTAAATTCATTCTAGCACCAACCAGAACAGCCTTTAACGCTTCAATCCAAATTCGACCCAGTATATACAAGTCACCATAGCATAATTTTAGCATAGACTCTCTCATTTCATTTTTGGACTTGAAGATTTCATTCTGAGGATGGATTTCTTCATACTTTGGCTTTATTTGTTTTTTTAGCATTGAATAACGAGAATTTGGAATTAAGTTATTACGATTTTGCCGGATTTGTTGTGGCAGCTGTTGCCGATGTCACATAGCAATGACGTGAGTAAAAGCGATGCATTAAATACTTTTTGGAGGCTTTGATTGGTTTATGGTTAATTTGTAATATAATTATAACATTATTAATAATATAAAGGTCTCATTCATTGTTATAGATTGTTGTGCATTAAGTAGTCATTTTAAAAACATTAATATTCAGGACTCCAATACCAGGACTCGGTAGCTCAATTGGTAGAGCAACAGCACGGAACACTGACGATGCCGGTTCAAGTCCTGCCCGAGTAGAGTATTTTTTTAATTTATTTTCGATTTTAAATTATATAGTCATATTTACTTTCGTAACTCAAGCCGAGGATTAAATTGTTTTGATATTTGGAAAATACACGATGTATTTGTTTAAATTTTTTGTGGGTAATTAAGTAAGTAGACCTTAAAGGCTATAACTGTCTACTCTACGACTTACTCAAATGTCTTCATTTAGACCTAGAAAAACATCTGCCAGGACCAATTAACAAGAAGCTTAGTACTTCCTAGTCTATTCAAACTTTTCAAGCGATTTTCGACTTTAACGCCAGGCTATAAGACGTAAATGTGTTTAGAATGCGGCTCAAGATAAATTGGTCACTGAGAAATGGGATACGTGGCATATGAATCGGTGCAGTATTTTTCTGCATCGTTTTGCACATGGCAGAATAATTCAGGTAGGACGATACTCAATATGATTAATAGTTTCCCTGCGCTCGCCCAAAACGCCCGGTTAGTATTCGTGGCTCTTTAGGAACACAATACGTAAGAGTCCAATCAAAAAAAAAAAAAAAAAACTGTTGCAAGTACCATGAGACTGCATATCATTGTCTTTCGGGCTGATCGGCCGATCGCGCTATCGACCTATTTTTGCTTTAGATATTCGGAAGCCTACAGACTGATACCGAAACGCACTTAAACTTCACAGCTTTTTCAGTGGACGCTCTCGACCCTGACGACATTACATTACTCCTACCACCCATTTAACACCCAGATTTCCAGACGAAATCCAACATACTTCAGGAGACATGTTGGACTCGGTGGGGATCGATTCCAGGATCTGTTAATTATTAGCCGCACATTGGCTACCATTACCCCGACGAGTCAATCTGATCGATATGGACATCGGTCTTGAGGGTAATCACATAAAAAAGTTTAAACACGCTTCCAGCACGTTACCAGTAGGAATACGCTACCACCGATTTATCAGCTGGACCAACACGTCCAGCTCTTCTCCAGCTGTATACATTCACATACCCTAGCTTATTCTGCCATAGCGCTGCGAATAATTGAGTTCCGAGTGATTCGGGATCGCACTGATATCGATTCTGATTGCTTCAATCGGATTCCTGAAGTTGTTACAGTTCGATAATCGCTTGTACTCGAATCGGCTCGATCATTTTTTCGATTTTTTTGCAAGACCGAGATAGACACGACTCTACCTAGATTCTAAGCAAGAAGGCATTTTTCGCTTTAAATTTTCATCGATATTTATTCTATTTTTTGAGCTTTAGTTTTACTGTTTAACTGTTGTGTATGTTCGAAAAGCTATACTTAATAAATAATGCTGAATAGTTTTTTGGTTTGAACGCGCTAATCTCAAGAACTACTGGCTCGAATTGAAAAATTATATTTGTGTTGGTTAGAGCATTTATCGGGGAAGGCTTCAGGCTATCAAGAGAAGCGAAGAAGAAGCGGGAAACGAGAAAAAAATGGGGAAATTATTCATCTGTGCAGGAGTTCGATGCGTAAGCTTACGTCCGCTGTAGAAACGGTTTAACATATGTTAATGATTCCTTTTTAAATTATCTAAAAAAAAATCCGCGATAGCATGTATGTATATGTGTGTATGTCTATCTTTTGAGATTAACAAGAACGACGTCGTGGGCAATAGCTTAAATTTACAGTTTTGGTTTCGTTTTAGGTTTGCAAAAACAAACTTGGATGCACAAAACTACTATTTTACGAGACGAAGTCGCTGACACAGCTAGTAATATAAATAAAATTGGGGTAGTTTTATATTATCGCTACGACGTCCGAAGTTAGATCGCGCGGCTAGTCGCTATTGGGTGCCACTCGTGCGCGTTGGTTGTGCACAGTTTTTATTAAAAATGTTTATGTGACTTCTATATAAATGAAGACATAGATTTCTAACAGTGCAATTAAATCGGAACTAACATTGGACCGGAGGTATGTGCTTAGAGTATTAAACTTATAGATATATGCTTATTAAATGTTTATCCATATTATACCGTTTCTGTCCTTATTATACAGTATGCTTACGCGAATTTACTATATACCAACTCGTATAAAACACTTTTCAACTATCACCGAATGTGGGCTCTGTCTATTCCTGTACAAGTATAGTATTTAATCAAAATATAATGCAAAAATTAAAAGACAAATTCAAGAAACACGAAAAAAAACATGTTTCACACCATTCAAAGAATACGGGAATGTTTACTGAATAACTAAAAGTACACGTTTCTAGGTGTTTCTTTCGTTAAAATAACTTTTTAAATAAAATCACTTTAACGGTTTAAAACGCGATAAATATTAATTTATTTAAACTACGGCGCCATGTTTCGGATAGCTTGTGCATAAACTAATATATAATGAGTTTTAAACTGTTAAAAGTGTTTTATTTGTATGTGTCTACTCGCGAAAACTACAGACGATACTTATAACGGCGTTTATTAGTCTCATAAAATTTAATCCGCAAATTAATCACGCATTGTAACAATTTTACAGTTAACATAATGCTACAATCCTAATTAGGATATTACATAAGCCTATAGCTTAAGTTATTAAAATAACAACGTTAACACGAATATTCCGTAATAGTCCATTGTTTCAAACCATATTTTGTAACGTGTAGCATGATATTTCGTAGAATTAACGCTACTGGACGTGATAAGGAGTTTGAGTTTCCACAAGTCCTTCAATAAATCTTTACTTCATTCATTGCACAATTTAAAGCAAAATATAAACCCCCTAATTCGTTGGGACTTAAAGTAAATACATATTTTATTTAAGTATTTATGTGCATATATTACAGTTGACAAAACGAATTACTGTAAAAAGGTAATAAACAATGCAAAAACTATTACGTATACATATAATTATTATATATAACATAAATTAAGGAATACGGAACATTTTGTTAAATTTTTTTTAAAGATTAATAGAGCTAAACCTCTGTAGCTAATTGGTTAAACGTGTTGTCTAGCATTGCGTTAAATTTGAGACAGGACGGGTTTGAATCCCGGGGAAACAATTGTTTCGGCCAAATAGTCTTATCAACTAAGTACTTGCCTGTCAGAGAAATAGACACAGACGTTCGTTGGACCTATGCCCCACGGGGAAAACGGGATTCCACTATATAGCAAACAATAAAATTATGTAAAATTTTAAGTCGTACTTAAAATAGACAAAATAAATTGCCTAACAAGAGAGTTTGTCTTTGGCTCTTCTAGATATAATTATCTTTGTGTTAGATGCGATCAAGCAAGTAAGTAGTCCAAAACAATGGTACGCATCTGATACAACTTTCACCATATACAACAAGACGGTAGATATATAAGGCATATCTATTCTCTGAAACAATTTGTAAAGGCATTTGGTGAAAAACAACAAAGATATCTTTTACTTGGGTTCAGCTTTTTTAGAGGAGGACAGATAAGCGTGGGGGTCACTTGATGGTAGGTGTAATACCTCAGCCTATACCATTTAAACCAGATCGGCTGTCGATCTATTTTGGCTTTTGTCATTCGGAAATCCACTGTCTGAAACCAAAACGCGATAAAATTTGACGGCTTTTTCATCTGTGGACGGTAGTTCGTGATCCGGGCGGAATTCCGATATTCCTGCCACTCATTTAATATCCAGATTTCCAGACAGATGTCAGGAAAATTATAAATTGATTAGAAACATATTGGATCCGGTGGAAATCGAACCCACGACCCGTTGACTATTACTCATACATTGCTACCATTAAGCCAAAAAAGTAGATAATATAAACAACATATAAGTATGTTCCCAACGCGAAGTAGGGGGTGACTATTTTTTGCTCCACTACTCGTGAAGCATGTTCTATGTTTTTATAGATGAAAAAAAAATAAAACCACAACTAGTCAGACATGGTGCGGACGTCAAACGATGACTTCTATTTTATTTTATACCTACATATTGCGTTAAGTAGAGAGGTTCTGAATCCTGAAGAGAGTAACAATATATATATCTTACTATTTATAGGCCAGAGTATGGATGTCCTGATCAATTACTTGTCTGTAAAGAAACTAAGAAATGTTAAATTGTTTTTATTTTCCTTTTTTATAGGATATCCTTATGTCTTCTTTTATAAACTGATTCTTACAATTTTTGAAAACACTTTTGCTGATAGATTTCAGTGAACAAGCTAAGGTCGACCAGGCTTAAGCTTAATTCAAGGTAAAAGCTAGCTTAAAACAATAAACAATGTGCCCTTCCGGCGAAATTGATAATATTGTTCGCGAACAATGCACTATTATGTGTTATCTGCATATAATGTATCTTCCTTATAGAGTAACGTTTCGTATTAACTCATAATAAACAAATAATTTATGGGTCAATATGCTGTATTTTTGCCGAGGAGCGAATATTTTTGCCCAGCGTTAATTTTTTTAAAATAAAACCGCTACGCTAGCGCCATCTGGTACGTCGAAGTTGGTATTTGCTTTTTTACTTTGACGTCAGAGACATCCTCCATCTTTAGTCCCCCCGTGACCACGGCTGCTGCAATTGCGTTTCGATTTCAGTCTATGGATTTGCAAATATTAAAAGCCAAAATAGGACAGCGCATCTCGTTTAGATGTTATCAACCTCATGCTGTGAACTTCATGGTTTTCTGTCCTCCTTTATCATAAAAAAAAGTCTGAGTCAGTAAGAGATCGGAC